AAGGACCTTTCACTCTGCAGAAGAGCCTGCTTCAGCTCCTCCAGCTCTGTGTGCTCTTTGGTATACATTCTCTTCAGGTTTTCTACGTGCTGAATCATCACTTCCACGGCTTTACTGACCCGACTTTCCTGGTAGAAAAACGAGTAAATTTTTGTTGAAACTACTACCCCACACCCAGTTAAAACGTGTGTTCAGGGCTGGCAAGGTGGCCCAGTGAGGAAAGCCTGTGTTCTACAAGCCTGACAACTTGAGTTCCATCTGTAGAACCCATGCTGGAGGGCAGCACCAGCTCTAGGACATTATTCTCTGACCTCCACATGGGCACTTGTGGCAGGTGCACACACAATAGTAAATGAAAAACTTAACACGCATTCACCCACAGTCCATTCCTGAATCCAACTACAATGTCAGTATAGGCATATTTTTGGGAAAAAAAAAAAAAAGTGTATGAGGGCAAATAGAAAAAGATGTAATGCAAGAAACGTAGAACCCATGCTGGAGGGCAGCACCAGCTCTAGGACATTGTTCTCTGACCTCCACATGGGCACTTGTGGCAGGTGCACACACAATAGTAAACGGAAAACTTAACACGCATTTACCCAGTCCATTCCTGAATCCAACTACAATGTCAGTATAGGCATATTTTTGGAAAAAAAAAAAAAGTGTATGAGGGCAAATAGAAAAAGATGTAATGCAAGAAAACTTAAGCTGAATAAGAACGAGTGCTTGTGGTAAGACCTTAAAGACAGTGTGGAAAGGGGCGGGGGATGCAGCTCAGTTGGTGGAGTGCAGGCCTGGTAGGCACCGTGAGTTCAAGGCCAACCTCAGCTGGCAGTTCCAGACCTAAGAAGAGAGTAAAGGCATCTGGAGGAAATCGTGGAGGAAATGACATGTAGTCTGGAATATTTCACCAGCTAGATTATCAATACAATGAGAGAGTAAAGACACCATGGGTCACAGGTAGCCAGCCTTTAGGGGCGTTGATATTTTGCCATAAAAAGTTTCATCTCTTCCCAAGTTTTTGAATTAAAAAGAGATGTAAGTGATCAGCATGTTTTTTCCACTCGTAAATGTTTCAGGAAAGATATTTTTTAAAAAACTTATTTTCTTTAAAAAAAAAATACAGAGGCCAGAGAGATGGCTCAATGGTTAAGAGTACTGGTTGCTCTTACAGAGGACTTGGGTTCGAGTCCCAGCACCTACATGGCAGCTGTCTATAACTACAGTTCTAGGGGATCCAATGCCCTCTTCTGACATCCACAGGCAGTGCATGACATAGGTGCACTTACATACATGCAAGCAATAGTCATAAAATAAAACGTTTTTTATAAAAAATACAATGCACTGGGTGTGGTGGCAAGCATTTTAATTCCAGCACTCGGAAGGCAGAGGCAGGGGGATCTCTGTGAGATTGAGGCCAGCCTGATCTACATAGCAAGTTCCAGGTCAACTGGGACTATGGGGAAACCCTGTTTCAAAAAAACAAAAAAGTTTGCAATGCTAGGATGTTTAACATTTAAAACACCTTAATACCACATAGTTGATACCAAACTTCCTTGCCTCAAAAGTGGCTTTGTTTGCACTGGAAACAGTGTGATGGTTGTTCTTTATCCTGGTGTAGAATTCACAACATAAAAACCACTTCGAAAGGCATTTGGTTCATTCCTAATGCTGAGCAACTGTTGCTTTAATTTAGTTCCAAAGCCCTTGCTACCATGCCAAACAGAACTACGGGGGACTGGAGAGATGCTCAGCAGTCAAGCTCTCAGTCTCCGGCTAGCTGTCCAAGGCTTAGGGTCGCAGGCACACACCTGGCCCCAGAGCTTCCATCCTTTGTGTTTATTTGGGGAATCAAGCTCGGAGCCTCATGCATGTTAAGCAAGTACCGTACCACTGGGATTCACACAACCCAGCATCTCCTATCTTAATGTATTAGTGGACCTTGTGGGAGTGATTCCATAGAAAATGGAGGTCATTCAGGAGAATCTAGGCACATGTTTCTGGGTAAACCTGAAGGGACATGATCGTATATCTGGGTTAAGATGGCTGCCCTTACACAAGGCTGGAGACTGGCTGTCTTTGGTAGTGGAAAGGAGGGCCTCGTGTGGATTCTGATGGCACGTTCAGGGCTCTGACAGCTCTCTTTGGATTGGCTCAAATTTTCTCAGTCACTAAGTCTTTGACAGAGAAGACAAGAGAGGACACGATGATGGTTTGAGGAGTGAGGACACCGTGTGGAGCTGATCTAGAAGAAGGAGGGGGTGGGAGGCTCCCAGGACCCACGTGGTGCATGGGATGATGAGATGACGAGTTCTGTCATCATGGGGTGTGCTATGTACCACAGAGTGGGCACAGGTAGGTGGAGAAAGTGCATTCAAACAGGTTGTAGATTTGCCCAATAAATAACACGTGAACAGGAAAGAGGGCTCAGGCAAGGCAGGAAATGCTGTGTTTGATTGTGCAGTTTAAGCTTGGTCAAGAAACGAGATGCAAAGTTGACAGTGGGAGGGTGAGGGGCAGGGACAAACACTGCAGACGCACCATGGTGGAAAAGTAACCAACAGTACTTAAAATGGAAACCATATCACCACACAGCAGTGTAGGCATGCTATTTAGAAATGTGGATAAAGATAAAGGAGAACTGAAGTTTGTGACCATGGAGTATGGGGGATCAGATAAGGCAGCTGATACAGATACTTAAATTTTTTTAAAAAAACCTTATGCATACATAACTGTTGTACAAATAAAATAAAGAATAGCATTATCCTCCACTGAGGGGTTGTAAGAGAATGAGAATTTGTAACAAATGATCAAACTGAAACCACCACAGTTAGATAAATTTTCTTGAGGGGTTGGAGCAACAGGGTAAGAGCACTGGCTGCTCTTACAGAGGGCCAGGGTTCAGTTCCCAGCATCCACATGGCAGCTCACAACCATCCATAACTCCAGTCCCTGGAGATTCGATACCACCCTCTTCTGGCCTCCTAATGCACTGCATGACACAGGTGCACTCACATACATGCAGACAAAATACTCATACACATAAAATAAAAATCAATAAAAATTTTTTTTTGGAGACAGAGTCTCTCTGTAGCCCCAACTGGCCTGGAACTCAGTATATAGACCAGGCTGGCCTTGAACTTAGAGATCTGCCTGCTTCTGCCTCATGAGTGCTGGAATTAAAGGCGTGTGCCACCATGCCTTTAAAATCAGTAAATTTTTAAAAATATCTTAACACAATATATTTTAAGACAGAAGTCTCAGGGCTGGAGAGATGGTTCAGTGGTTAAGGGCACTGGCTGCTCTTGCAGAGGACCCAGATTCAGTTCCCAGCACCCACATGGCTGCTAACAACCATTCTTCACTCCAGTTCCAGGGGATCCACTGCCCCCTTCTGGCCTCCGTGGACATTGCACACAGGTTCACTTACACACATGCAGGCAAAACACTCATTTGCATAAAAAACAGAACTTTTTAAAAAGTCAAATCCCTTCAGAATTGCTCAGGATGAAAATTGGAAATTCCGCTTTCCTGAGTGCACAACGTGCATATGCAAATGAAAGCAGGTGGGTGGTTCAGCAGGAAGCAGCCAAGGAAACTGCAGTCAGCAGCTGCATTTCCGATGCCAGGTGCCCCTTGTGGTCAAATGTCCTTCAAGTTGCAATTCGGTTGTTCCAGCTGCGTCAGAAACTAAGGCACAGGATGCTCTCCCAATCACCACGCATGCACACTCATGACGGGTCTGTGTCCTGGTTCTTTGTACTAGCATTTACATTGTGGTTTTGCTCCCTCTTTTCTGAGGGCTTGTCAAGACGAGGATGAAAGAAATACCCTGATAAGGAAATCAGCTCTACCATGATTGGGGACAGGAAAAGGATCACCTCACCCTTGGTGAGGACCATCCACTTCAAATAGTCTAAAACCTTCTTAAATACCCACAATACAGAAGCCAACGGGCTGCTCCACTCCAGTCCCCTCTTTAAGTTAGCCCCTGTCTGTCTGTCTGTCTGTCTGTCTCCTTTGTATTACTTCACCAAATAAACTTCTGCTTGAATCAACTGTGTGCCTTCACCTGGAAAACCAAGGACACTTATCAGAGTATCATTTACCAGAGCAAAACAAAAGCATCCTGAAATGACCAACGTAACTTGTTAGACGAGTCACGTCTGTGCAACCCAGAAAATACTGTGAAATGGTGCTATGTCTGCACACATTTGCAGTATGTGGAGTTAGCTGTGCTATATACTCAATGAAAACCATCTGGAGGCAGATCATAATATTGTATGAAGAGGGTATCCAGGGGAACACAGCACACAATTGATCTATTAGTATGAGAGCTTTCTCTTTACAGTCTGTACTTATACATTTTTTCTTATGTTGAACACATAGGTCTTATAAAACAAAGAAGTATCCCTAAAAACTTATTCTTAGCAATTAGCACATGGTCTCTGGGGAAACAAACCCTCTTACCAGCTCCACCATTACCTGGTTGATGGCTCCCAGCATCTCAGCCCTGCTGGCCACGCGAGTCGCACACTGGCTCAGAAACATTATACTCTTCTCCAGCTTCTTAATGATTTCCTGAGCCTGGTTGTCATCTTCACACAGCGGTGTTAATGACTGTGAGGAAAGCAAAGGGTTAGAAGACATCCAACACCATCATTGACAAGTGTTTCTAATGCTAAATAAATCAAAGTCTGATCTCCAACATCCTGGTGGAGGGTGATGAACATCATCAAAGCCCAACAATGGAGGGTATAAAACATTAACATCTTGGGGCTGGAGAGGTGGCTCAGCAGTTAAGAGCACTGGCTGTTCTTGCAGAGGACCCAGGTTTGGTTCCCAGCATCCACATGGCAGCTGACAACCATCCATAACTCCACTTCCAAGGGATCTGTCACCATCTTCTGGCCTTCATGGGCATTACATGACATGGGTATGCATACATACATGCAGGCAATACATACATACATACACATAAAATAAAAGTAGTAAGTTAAAATATTAGCATCTGTGTTGGGTCATAGGTGGATGCATGCAGATGTTTACAAACCCTTTAAGTCTATTCTCGATCCCTTCTTTGTGTATTCCCCCGTGGTTACCGACAGCTCTCTTCTGTGGTTCACAGGATGGGGTGCTTTTGGTAAGCATAAACAGACTAAGTTATGCATGAAATGTTTCACATAGGAACAAAGTTGGGACTTTGAGCGACATAAAAAGCAAATGAGAGCTGGCTCTACCTTCAACTTTACTGTCCATGTAGCTGAATTTGGAATCACCCAGGAGACATACCTCTGGGCATGTGGCAGTGTTTCCAGAGAGTCCTCGACTGAATAAAGAGGAGGAAGCCATCTGAAGTCCAGATCTTATCTTGATTTGGAATCACCCAGGAGACACACCTCTGGGCATGTGGCAGTGTTTCCAGAGAGGCAGGAAGCCCCACCGGGGCTCCGGCCCACGCCTGGGGTCCTCGACTGAATAAAGAGGAGGAAGCCATCTGAAGTCCAGATCTTATCTTTCACTACTTCCTGACTGTGGACTCTAACCAGCCACCTTATGACCTACCATCACAGCTACACCTGCTTTTGTGATCGTGCTATCCTGTCATGCAGAACTACACCCTCCAACCATGAGACAGAATAAATCCTTCCTTCCCTAAATTGCTTTTGTTGGGTATTCTGTTGTATTATTTGCAACAATAAAAAGAACTAATATACTCTCCTATTGACAGCTAGGTGACCAGGCTGGCTAGATGCATATACCATTATGCTAAGGATATCCCACTGGACCCATGCCTCAAATAGTGCCTTTCATGAGCAAAGCCTATGTTTCTCAGCAGGGATGAAGAGGAGACTTGTTAGCAGGTGACCCATGCCCAGCCTCTGTGTAACTGTAAGCAGGTGTCTATAGGCTGTCCAAATCTAGAGCCAGGAACTGTAAGAGGTGCCATTACACCATACGTCATGAAGAAGACGCCCTGTCAACAGTGCGAGGCAACACCGACGACAGGCTTTGTAACTCTGGAAGTGTCGAACTTCCTAGCTTCCTAGTTTGCCGTTTCTTCACCTGTTGGATGGAGCCCATCGTCTGCTTTCCAAGAATGCCATGTACAGGGAGCAGACGCCACCATCCTCGGCACACAGTAGGCACACGAACGGCAGCCACGTTCGAAACAAACAGATATGTCTAAGTTGCAGCTAATGAGTTGTAGACCAACAGTAATGGCCATTGCTAGACATGCAGTTCCCTGAGCAGGAAGAGCAGGGGTCAGCTGTAAGCAAAACAGAATACGGCTGGCCAGACAGAATCATGGGGAAATAATCTGAGAGGACTGAATCAGTAATCACAGCCTCTCAACAAAGAAACCCCCGGACCAAATGGCTTCACTAAGGAAGGCAGGCACAATGGCAGCCCTTTCAAAATTCTCCCCCAAAACTGAACAAGGAGGAGTATCTCCAAGCTCATTCTAAGAGGCCCTATTACCTTGATACCAAGGTGAACAGAGCTGTTACAAGAAAAGGGAGCTACAGATCAATAACCCTGAAGAATATTGTTGCAGAAGGGAAGGGGGGAGGGAAGAAGAAAAGAAAGGAAAGCGGAGGGAGGGAGGGAGGGAGAGAGGGAAGAATATGACTAAATGTGTGGTCCCCAGTGTCCCTTCACCTCTAAAAGCTTCAGACAGTTGGTGATTTCTTTCTTCAAATTCTCTTCTGCCAGGTCACGGGATCTCTCTTCAAGCTTCACTCTCTTCTCCAGGGTAAACCAGTCACACTTAAGTCCCAAAGATAACCTGAGAAATTCCGCCTGTGGTCACAGCAACGGGAGGGTGGGGAGAGAATGTCAGATGAGGTCAGTCTCCTACTGACCGTGCTGGGATATCCTCCTTCCCTGGGACCCTCAGGCTGCAGGCAAGGGCTCAGCCTGTACTTGATCACATTACAAGCACATGCAAAAACATGGATGAGGGAGTCTGAAGTGTGGAGGGGGGAGGAAGGGAAGGGGGGCTGGAGGGACAGAGAAAGACAGACACTTGTAAACTCACCTCCACCTCCTTCTCATTAGCTGAAGTGCTGTAGGGAGAGATGAGGAACTTACTCAAACATAATCCAAGTGAAACAGAAAACCTGCTAAACGGCGTGAATGAACGCTTACTTGTCACCTTGTTGAAAGTTAACCAGCTTCACAGAAGGTGCAGGAAGCTTGGAAGCCTCGGTTTCTATGGAAAGACAATAAATGTGCTTAAACATCTAAAAGTACATTTTCATCAAATGTTATGTCCTACATTTACTAAAAAATGCATTTCATTTAAGCACGTCTGAATTGCTAGCTAATATATCTGCTTAAATCTTAAGATGCTATGCTAAGCTATTGAGAACCTGCTTAGAAGTCACCAACTCACACCTCAGGATGTGAACAGTGCTTGAAAGCCAAAGATATCTGAGAGTCGGGGGCAGCCCTGTGTCCTGGCATTTGAATATACAGCACACTGGGTCCCACCGCCAACCCACACCTTCCTCATACACACCAGCTGGTGTCCTGGTTCTGTCTTGGATCAGAACTTTGGGAGAACCTGTAGTAACAGCAGTAGCAATGGTAAAAACACTCATAACAAGAGTGTGACTGTCGACTTGATGGGATTTCAAATCACTATAAAACTGAACTCTAGGCACATCTATTAGGGAGTTCCCAGATCACGTTAACTGGGCCAGGAAGACCCACCCTCAATGTGGGCGGGCGGCACCATCCCACAGGCTGGGGTCCCAGACTGAGTGAAGAGACAGTGAGCTGAGCACCAGAGTTTGGCTCTCTCCACTTCCTGACTGTGGACACAATGTGGCCGGCTGCCTCACACTCCTGCTCCCTGCCTTCCCCTCCACGACGGACAGTATCCCCTCATGATGTGAGCCAAAATAAGCCTTTTCCCCTTTAACCTACTTTAGCCAGGTATTGAATCACAACAAGAAAAGTAACCAACACAAACAGCATCACCAGACGGCATCAACCACTGCCTTGCAGCATATCGATCCCAGAACAAAGCCTTTACACACGCAGTGATTCTCTATTGCAGAGTTGCGATATGAACACAGGATGTAAACTTGACAACACTTGGTGTAAACCAAGCTTTGACTTTCAGACGTATGCTTGTGACCAAGTCACAACCTTATTAAGCCATCTACAAGACAATGATGCAATTGGATGCAACAGCTGACTTGCATGAGGATGACTTCCGTGCTAGGTGCCCTGGCATGCTCTGGACATATTAATGTATTCGGTCTTCACAGCAAAACTTCAGGGCAAAAACCATCTTTTCTCAGGCTAGGAAACTGAATCACAGTTTAAGCCACCTCACCTCCTATTTACAGGACTAAATGAAACTATGCAAATAAATAATTTAGTCTACTACTCACAATATACTGTATTCTCGATAAAGTGTAAAAGTTTTTTGAGACAGGGTCTCACGTAGCCCAGGCTGGCTTCAAGCTCACTATGTGGCTGAGGATGACCTTGAACTTCTGATCCTCCCTCCTCCATCTCCAGAATGCTGAGAGGCGAGGTACATACTACTTTGCTTAATTTATATGGCGCTGGGGAATCAAACCCAAGACCTCATGCATGCTAGGCAAGTACTGTATCTCCTAAGCCACATCCCCAGCCCAGCTGAATGGCTAAATCAGCATTTCTACTTTGCAAATGAGAATGCAGATGCCAGATTAAATACCTAAGAGCACGTAAGTAGAGGCTGACCAGCCTAGAGTCTACATGGACGCTGTGCCATTTCAGTGAAGTCGGACTGAGGAGGGAGGCAGCCTACCTCTTGTTCTGTGAACCCTGGCATATTGACTTTTACATGAGGCACTGAAATGAGCTTAAGAGTGCAGAAAGGCCACTGCCATGTGCTCAGTTCTTAGTTCCAGAAAGCACTGGTTACTGTTAGAACTGTGGGGTCAAACAGGAGAAGAAACATCGCTGTGGTTTTTTTAATGGGACAAGGGGATGTAAGACTTGATCCTACTGGCTGGTCTTATCCCAGGATGCAGAATATGTTGTGTGTGACACATCTACAGAAACAGCAGCAGAGAACAAAGGTTCCCACGGGTTGAAGGAGCACGCCTTACCTCCTGCAGTGCGATCCTTTCTATGGTCGTCTATTGTTCCGAGTTCCTCTCCTGTTTCCTAAAATCATAAGGAACTTTTATTGCCATGTGTTGAATGGAAGTCCTTCAGACCCAAACATCTTTCCACTTCCCATTCCCGCAACCAATCTCTACCAAAATCTGTAGAACTCCGGGAACTGGAATAAAGGTTAACAAGAAGGAGGAGTCCAGGGTAGCTCCCAATGTAGTTCAGACAAAACTGACATAAATATTTGAGAGGCTGTGAATGTGACACAAAGTATCATAAAGGAAACTAAGTGCCAAGGAAATGAGTATTCTTCATGGGGAAGAGAGGGGTGCCAGGGCTAGACCAGTACAGAAGGTCTCCTCAGCCAAGGAGCATACCAGGGCATATGGGGAGGTAAAGTAGGGGATCTAGGGCTATGGCATGGTGCTTCCCACATGGTTGAAGGGGCACAAACACAGTTGCTAAGATTTGTTCTGTTAGACTTTAATTCCCTATGAATATACACCACACACACCACACACACCCACCTACAGTTGTTTAGTTATTGTTTGAGAGAGTCTCACATGCAACCCACAGGGCCCACTGATTTGAAACTCGTGATCCTCCTGCCTTGGGCAGCTAAGTGCTGGGATATAGGTCAGGCTCCATTCAAACACATTTTTAAGATCACTGACCAACTGCTGTATAATAAATATATCTGTATGACAAGGCTCACCTTAATTGGGTTGCTCTGCACTGACCTGGACAATCTAATTGGAACACTTTTAGGTACACAATCTTCTATGATGCCATTAGACATACTCAGATGAGGGGCTGGAGAGATGCCCACTTGCAGAAGACCTGGGTCCAGTTCTCAGCACCCACATGGTGCTAACAACAGTCCATAACTCCAGTTCCAGGAGATTCAATGCCCTCTTCTGGCCTTTGCAGGCACTGAACAACCATGTATGTGCATTTACATACATGCAGACAAAACACTCATACACACAAAACAACAAGTCAAAAAAAATTTTTAAACCTCAGATGAGTGGAGAAACTCAGAAAACCAAATAAATTCTCCATTAGAAAGCCTAGGACAAATTTCCTTTGTAGAGTCATTGATTCCATAGCATGTGATGTTTAAACAACTGGAGTGAACTTTTCAGTAAAATGTAACAAATACAGCAATACAAGGTGAGTCTGGGCCTATTCCTGTCAACATGTGAGTATCTGAGTTTTTCACACACTCCTTGAATCCCATGAACTTCCCAGCCACAGAACTTTCTCCTCTGCCCTTCGCCACATGTGCAGGTCTTCTTGCTCACAGCTGCCGATCCCAGTTCTGTGCCTCTCCATCTGTGATCAAATTAGCTGCTCTACCCCTCTACCTAACAGTCCAAGGACCTGTTCCCCCGGTTTCCAGGACCTGCCCATCACCAAGTCAAATGGATACTTACTCTTGGGTCTGTGTCTAACTTGACTTCACTGCAGCATCTAAAATGGACTAGGAATCCCTCCTCCCCAAAGCTTGGTCTTCCCCTGGCTCCCCTCTCACAAATGTCCTCCATTGCTACAGCACAGTGGCCCTTCTCACTACTCTCCTCCCCTGTCCTCTCTACTAGACCCCACATTGTTCATCAAGGCTCCAATATCCTTGGGCATGGTAGTATACACCTATAATCCCAGCACTCAGGAGGCTGAACATTGCAAATTCTAGGCCAGCCTGGGCTATCTAATGAGATCCCATTAGAAAAAATAATAATCATCAATTCCTTTATTCTCAGTATTCTCTGCCTGCCAGTCCTTGAGAAATCTCACCCCACACCCACTTTCCTTCTGATAGCTCATGAACATGTGCTTGCTCCTCTGGAGGGTTTATGGGTTGCTGTGATAGGCGCACAGCTAGCTGTAAAGCCTCCCTACAGACTACTGACGTCTCGCCTCAACCTGAGGCTTGACCCTATTTTGTCTCTCAAATTCTACCCTCCTTCCCTCTTCTCATCATTCAAATCATCCTTGACATTTAAACCATCAACCAGGACACCCACCTTGGCCCACATCCATCTAGTATGAATTTACCTCTTAAAAAAAAGTCTTGTATTTTAAATAAATAAAAGGGCATCTATGGAAATGCAATGGTTTATGGAAGAGGTAACTCCACTGTATGACATGAAGCAAAACGTTTTATTCATACGCATTTAATATGTGCACACACTGAGATGTTCACAGTCTTTAGAACAGGACAAATAAGGAGCAAAGTTCCGGTGGAGGGTGGGGAACATGGATGAAGGACAAAGGAGGGACTCTGATTAAAATCTGTTGTATGAATGTACAAAACCTCAATATAAATTTTAAAGAAAAAAAATCTCATATTTTTCACTAAGTTTAAAGTAACCGTCTGTCCCCTGAATTACAACAATGACATCTGAATCAGTTCCATCCCCTCCATTACACCTTTCCTAATCCATCAGTTTTTAAAATTATTTATTATCTTTATTTTATGTGTATGAGTGTATTGCCTGCATGTATGTGAGTGCACCTGTGTCGTGCAATGCCGCGGAGGTCAGAAGAGAGCTTCGGATTCCCCTGAACTGGAGTTAAGGACAGTTCATAGCCGCCATGTGGGTTCTGGGAATTGAACTCAGGTTTTCTGCAAGAGCAGTCAGTGCTCTTAACCGCTGAGCCATCTCTCCAGGCCCTAATCCATCATTTTTAAAAAGTCCGCATGACTACCTTGCTTTAAGTTGAAAGGAATCTCTCCCCTCCCCAAAGCCAAGGAGATTCTCCTATGAAAAACTCAAGGTCTGTATTTTTTTTCCTCTGCTTATTTACATCTACAGGATGCCAACACTGGATCCTAACTGCACCCCACACTAAAGGATAGTTCAAAGTAATACCCAATTACTCCAGTCCTTTGAGACTACAACATTTTTATCTACTCCACCCCACCAAAATCCTCATGTTATAGCTTTCTTGAGTTGGCTACATGGATCTGTGATACTTGGTATGGCGTTAACAAAAGACCTGCCTATTCAGGGTAAAGCAACAATAATATACACACAGCTGTACATGTACAGGGAGTAATGTGTAGGTAAAAGCCTTGCGGAAACACGCAGCTGGATGCAAAGTCTATACACTACCCTCCCATCACTCGCTTCAGTCATTCACAGAAGTGGCTGTAGATCTTCACACGTAGGACAGAGGGATTCATACGTAAGAGCAAACCTTGGAGAACCATGAAGCTGGACCCAAAGTCTACAGGTAACCTTCAACCATTTACACAGGCTGTAAGTTCCCCTTCAATCATTCAAACAAGTAGCAACAGATCTTTATGAAAGAAGTTTAACTATTGTCTTTGAACATTTAGAACTAACCTTATCACCATGTAACTGTATCAGTTCCACGACGACACTTGGAGCTTCTACCCTGAGCATTTCTTTTTTTATACCACTAATCTCGTGCTAGTTAACTGTCTGCTTCTTCATCTGATTAGCACATACATGATACAATCACTGTTCTGTTCAATTGTATGTACTATGTGTTTATCTATTTAAGAAGGCATCTGAGGGCTGGAGAGATGGCTCAGCAGTTAAGAGCACTCACTGTTCTTACAGAGGGCCTGGATTTGATTCCCGGCACCCACATGGTGGCTAACAATTGTCTGTAATTCCAGTTCCAGGGGATTTTGATGCCTTCTTCTGGCCTCCCTAGGCATTGCATGACACAGGTACACTTACACACATGTAGGCAATACACTCATACACATAAAATAAAAATAAAATAATTTTTAAAAGCAGCTATCTGAGAGCTATTAGCTTTGTTTCTAACATATCTCTGATGATTAAATGAACAAAAACCAATGTAAAGAAAAGCGTTCTGACCTTACAGCCATTGCAGGATCTTGTACAAGTCATAAGAATACCCTGGTCTTAATTTGTCTATAAAATACTGATCCAACTGAATTCTAGTAACTCAAAATAGTTCATTCATAATATATTGAAAAGATAAAATAATACGTTTTAAGAGACTCATGTAAATTCAAAGGGACATGTAGACCACTGTAACTGGTCACGGCTATTCCAGGGAACACATGCCCATTTTCTTACCAGGTGTGTCACAGCTTTGTCCCTGGTCATGGAGTCTTGGCATGTGATATTCTCACGAGTTGGACCAGTTCCTGTGAGGGAAAGGAAACAGTGAGTGGCTGGGGTAGTAGTGACAAGTGAAGGACAAAGAAATGGTGGGGGTGACGGTGCAGGCGGACCAGTAAACAGTGTGATACTGCAGCACCGAGGGGCACGTGCCTGTGGATGCACAACCTGGGACACAGCAGCCAAGGCCTTCCAGGAAGCGAGCCATATATCGTTTCCCAGCAGACCTGGATATCTGATGAGTGGTCTTTCAAAGAGCAGGTTGTTTCTTCCTTTAATCTTTTTTTAGGCTGATGCTGGCATATATAAATATTATTTATTTTTATCTTATGTATATGACTGTTATACCTGCATGTGTGTAAGTGCATCCATGTCATGCAATGCCTGCAGAGATCATAAGAGTGTGTCGGATCCCCTGGAATTGGAGTTACAGATGATTGTTAACCACCATGTGGATGCTGGGATTCAAACCTGGGTCTTCTGGCCGGTGCTCTTAACTGCTGAGTCATTTCTGTAACCCCAGTGCTGGCATTTTTTTATTGAACACATTAATAGTCTAATATTAATGAAGGAAAGATGAATAATTAGTAACTTGGCTCTTTATAGTTTAACAGGTTTTTTTATTTTGCATATCCAAGACTGATAACAATCATGTTTCTACTCAAGCACGGGCTATTTCTAAATGCAATGCCATCAAGCTAAGGAAACAGACCTTTCAGCACAGGCCAGTATTTTTGGTAATTTCCATTCATTTTCGTGTACTCTGTATTGCAAAGTACTTGAGCAATTTGCCTCTTCTTCCCATTTTTTCCTACTCATTTCGCCACAAAATATTCCATATGACACCTAACATTCAGTACTTTTATCTTCAAAAACAATAGTCCTGGGGGCTGGAGAGATGCTCTTCCGAGGACCCAGATTCAGTTCCCAGCACTCACATGGCAGCTAACAACTGTCAGTAACTCCAGTTCCAGGGGATCAGATGCGCTCCTCTGATCTCCATGGGCATTGCATGACATGGGTGCACCCACCTACATGCAGGCAGTACACTTACATAAAACAAAAATAAGTGAGCATTTAAAATATTAATAAATAAAATAAGGAAAAAGAAGAAACAATAGCCCTTATGCCAGATGTAGTGGTGCACATCTTTGATCACAGCACCCAGGAATCTCTGTGAGGTGAATCTCTGTGAGACCAAGGCCAGCCTGATCTACATATCAAGTTTCAGGCCAGCTGGGGCTACAGGGAGAGCTTGTCTCAAAAAGACCAAAAGAAAAAAAAAGTCTTTTGTTGGTCCTGTAAGGAGAAGAACGTAAGAACGAAGGACGGAACAGACATCAGTTTCTTTCAGAAGTATATGATTTTTCTCCATATGGAAGTTTTTAGGTTTTCCTTAAATTTTAGGCTTCAGATTGACATGGTTCATGAGTCAAAAAACACAAAATGTGAACATTTTCCCTTTCATCCGTATCTGCCCGATATCCAGATCGCTTCCCTGTAAACATTTTTTTGTTTAGTCTTCTAGAGATAGTCTATGCATGTATAACACCTTTTAAAGTTTTATTTTTTAATTATGTGTGTGTGTGTGTGTGTGTGTGTGTGTGTGTGTACATGCATGTGGGTTCCCACAGAGACCAGAAGAGGGCATGGATCCCCTGAGCTGGAGTTACAGAAGGTCATAAACTACCCAATGGGTGCTGGGAACTGAACTCAGTCCTCTGCAAGAGTAGCAAGTGCTTTTAACCACCGAGCAGCTCTCCAGGCCCCACAACATCTTCTCCTATCCTTCTCTTCACACAATATTGCATGTTATACCGAACGCTCAGTCCTTTTTCTTGGAGAAACAGAAGTCTTCTGTGGTGTTGTAGGGAAGCGTCTCCTTACTATGTCTTACACTTGTATGCTTTCAATTTTTATAATGTGGATGGACCAAAGTCTAATCTTTTTTGATAGCTTGTTGCCAGTATTTTGTTATTACAACAGTGCTGAGATACACAGATTGATACCTACACCACTTTGTTTTTATCTAGATGGCTGCAGGATAAATTCACAGACTCTGAACTGTCTGAGGATTCAGATGTTGAGAGATCAGAAGTTTCCCTCCATGTTAGTTACAAGAATTACATTTCCCACAGCAGCTTTTGAGGGTCGCTTTTCCCTCCAACTTTGTCAACACAGTAGTCACATTTTGCATGTTTCTACATGATAGGTGAACAACAGTACCCCACTACCATTTTCCTTAAAACGTTTCCCTCATCCAGGTAGGTCTGGTAGTACACAGCAGTCACCCCAGCACTCTGCAGGCTGAGGCCGGAAGACCTTAAGTTCAAGGCTAGTACAGGCTACATATTGACATTTTGCCTCCAAAAAAAAATAATAACAATAATCTTATTAGGTGTGAGATGCAGGACAGGGTTCAATTCACTCACAGGACAGGTTTCCGAAACCGTAACAATTATTCTAACTTACCACCTATCTCTCATTTAATTGCTGAGTTCCGAGAACAGAATAGGTTCTCCTTGTAGGTTTCTTTTGCCAGAGGAACGGGAGGAGTGGGAGCCTCTGCCTCTCAGGTCTCACTGGAGATGGTCATAAATAAATACTTTGTCTTCAGACCTAACATGTACCCACCACATCACCTGGTTGATGGTCCTGCATTCCTAGTGAACCACTGCTAACTGTTCCCCTTCTCACCTGATATCCTAATTTACATTCTACGAATTTCCTGAATCTGCTACCTATGCCACAGTTGGAACATCAATTTGTGTTGGGTGGCAATATTTAAGGCCCATTATAACATGTGGCCATTTTCCTTTTGACTACAAAATTAAGGAAAATGGTGGTCTCCTCAGACGTCACAGGTGCCTCCTAGACTTTGCTCCAATTTTTTTTTAAGAATCATTTTATAAAAATGGATATTAAATAATATCAAGCTTCTAAGGACGGTGCTTTACTGGCTTATAGGCACCAGCTTAGGGGCTTGCTTAGTGCTTTAGCAATTGAACTTGCACCCAATAACACCTTACCTGTCACGGCAGGGGCAGATTCTGTTTCCTCCTCTTTCTCACAGAGGAATTTGCAGTCAAGGTCACCAGAAGCCATATGCAAAATTTCTGATCCAGAATCTATCAAGAGGAAGAAACCAGAAGCATGAAAATTATGCAAAAGGGGAACCTGCCTAGCCGCCTCTGATTTGCACACACCTTGCAGGCCACCACACCAGGATGAAAGTTGTCATCAGGACTTGAATTCTTTCTCCTCAGTCTACTCACCACTGGATGTTACAGCACTCTCCGAGGATGAGGTGTGCCCCGGTGACGGTAGTGTGAGGTGCTCCCTAACAAAAGGATACGAGAACTGTTTTGCGGTGGGAGGTGCAAATAAGTCCCCAAAGCCAACTGAACCTGCTTTCCCATTCACAGTCATAGCTAACCTGAGCCGGGACAGGTTCTCGGAAAACAAGCGGCCAGCACCATTCTCCTGTGGGGACGAGAGATGAGTTCATAGTATTCCATAATTTGACATTTTCCATTCCAGAAATGTTGCAAACAGAAATTTTCATGCAATTTTAAAGGACCCATATTTGCTCTGCTCTGGGGGAGAGGTTATGGGACTGGAACAGTATAGGGATTTTTTTTTTGTTTTTTTAGTTTTTTGAGACAGGGTCTCCCTGTAGCCCAATCTGGCCTGGAGCTCACTATGTAGACCAGGTTGGGCTTGATCTCACAGAGATCTGCCTACCTCTGTCTCTCAAGTGCTTGAATTAAAGGCAGTCACCATCATGCCTGGCTGTATAGGGAATCTTGATACACAGTTCCTCACAGCTCTTCTTACAAATAAAATCCAAGTTTAAGTATATCTACAAGTCTGGTATTTAAACAAAACCTAATACATTCTTGGGCAAAACAAATTCTAAACTCAAAGGACAGATGTAGTCATTTCACACACATACAACACATTTTCTTCAAATAGAACATTCCACAGAAGCATAAAACATTTTTATTTATAGGAATATTACTCAACTTAAACCTTCTGACCTGATAATAAAAATGGCTTTCCGGTTTTTAGCTAGCCAAATCATACATTTTCTGCTTAATCCATTATCTCAAAGATCTGAGGGATTATATCCATGTCAGCACTTAAGGGAGCTTTATAAAACTGTGGTCCCAGCTTGCCAGGGCAAGTTCTTCAAAGCCTCATTTGACCTCCAAATTTCTATTAAGTATTCTTAATTAGAGAGGAACTTGGGAGTCTAGGGTTTGTGTTTGTCCTGATTCTTTCAAAAATAAAAACCAAGATATTGGTAATAGTGCTTCCTTTTTAATAATGAGCTAATTTTCATTATTACGTATTTCGAAAGAGAAATTTAAAGTCAAAACTGGCATCATTCTGGCCTCTGAAGTCCATATGGACAATTGGAAATTAAAACACAACTATATACACACATAAGCACATATTGTACAATCAATCAAATATAGACTGTATTAACTGCCATAGCTAATGACAGGTTTCCACAGACGGTAGTCAAGAAACCATTTGCGTGAGTCACAGAAAGGTAGCAGTTTATCCAGGCCTTGTTTGCTGGTGTTGTTTTACCCCCTTCTGTCCTGTTTCTCAGACAGCACTGAGGAATGAGCCAAGGGCCTTGGCCATGCCAGGGAAGTGCTCTGTTCCTGAACTATACTACCAGTCCAGCAAGTGCTTGCAGAATTTGTAGCTGCTCTGTATGGCAAATAGCAGTCTACCCGTTTAGTATGCTAAAATTTATAAAAGCCAGGGCCGATGAGTCGACTCAGCGGGTCAAGGTGCTTGAGATCAATCCCCAGGAACCACTCGTATGGTGGAAGGAAAGAATGGACTCCTTCAAGTTCTCCTCTGACCTCTACATGTATGTTGTCCACACATATAAACAAATGAATATAATATTCTCCCTACCTTTTTAATTTACATGGGGGCTGACGAGATGGCTCAGTGGTTAAGAGCACTAGCTACTCTTGTAGTGGACCTCGATTTGGTTCCCAGCACCCACATGGCAACTAACAACTGTCTATTATTCCAGTTCCAGGGATCCAATGCCCTCTTCTGGCCTCCATGGGCATTGCATACACGTGGTGCACCTTAGTAGATGCAGGCAAAAGACTTATACACATAAAATATAACAAAGATATTTTAATTTTTAAATTTTCAAAAGCCTTTTTATGTATCATCTCACTCTCCCAAAACTTTATGCAATAAATATTAGCAAAAGATAAAAACTTTTAAAATTAGTTCACACTTAATGAACTAAATAGTACCCTCTCCGTTGCAAACCACCTCTAACATGCACTAACTCAGGCTACTGTAAAACAAAGTCTTCTCAGATATATAAAGACCTAAATATAAACAAGAGGCTAGAGAGATGGGTCAGCGGTTAAGAGCACTTGGTTGCTCTTACAGAAAACCAGAGCTCAGTTCCCAGCACCCACATCTTGTGGCTTCACCTCCAGGAGGAGATCTGATGCCCTCTTCTGGCCTCCTTGCATTCATATACATATAAAATTCACACAAACATAAACACACAAATAATTAGTAACATAAAACTTCTTTAAAAATTTAAAGGTTTATATATAAGCATATAAATTATTTTTAAATATTTTATTTTTATGGTATGTGTATGAGTGTACTGCTTGCATGTAAGTGCACTTGTGGTCATGCACTGTCCACGAAGAAGGCATTGGATCCCCGGGACTGGAGTTACAGATGGTTGTTAGTCACCATGTGGGTGCTGGGAATCAAACCTGGGTTCTCTGCAAGAGTAGCCAATGCTCTTAACCACTGAGTCATCTCTCTAGCCCCCATAAATTATTTTTAAATGTTCACCTCAAATACTCAAAAACATGCTGAAACTTAAAAAACAGGAATTTATGTCAGCTGGTGACACTGTGCAAGCTTCTGTTTTATTTCATCATGGCTTTTATTTATTTTTGCTTTTTAGTTTTTAAAATGTTTGGTTAGTATTGTGTGAAATAAGATGCTTTGGTCTGTGCACAGACTGTGGGACAATCACCTCAAGCTGGTCAGCATGTCTGTCACCTCATTCCTCCCTGCCTTAAGGATCTTGGGGTTGGATCATATGTCACAGATATAACTCATGATATCAGCATAGTTGAATTCCACAAACATTCAAAGGTCCAGTTTGTGCCAGGAATAGAGATGAGGGTTGGAAATACACAGGACACAGCTCTTGTCATTCAGGCTCCCACAGACCAGTTAGGGAGACCAGCACACTAAACACACACCTTATAACCCACAGGCAGCATTCCATGGAGGAAATACATTTGCAGAATACAGTCCCAAGCATGGGCAGTAATTAGATGTAGAATAATTGTACCATATTGCCTGTAGGTAACTAAACGATGCTGGCCCTACCTTTACATCACTTAAATACTGATTATAGTTTTACTTCCATATATTATGTATATGGAATGGCACTATAAAAATCAAAGAAAATTAAATATCCTTCTGTTTCATTGGGTATCATAACATAAAAATCAAGAATTGATTTTTAAATATAAGGAGCACTTAAAATTCCTTAACATATATGACGTGTTACCAGCTGGACTTGAAATGATGCCAAGTGATTGCACTGTAATTGAAGCCAGCTTGGTCATCGTGACCTTGGCTACTTGAATGTAAGGCTAGGAGATGGTATTTATGTGTTCCTGTTCCATTAAATTGGTTTCCAAAAATGGGAGGAAAGGAACACTTTTTTTTGGCATACAATCTATTCAAAAAATTCTAATTATCTCATTTAAAGGCAAAAAAACAACTACAGGAAACATATATAATTTGCCCCTACTGTGTTACAAAGGGGTCTCACTGCACAGTGTCTGTGGAACCCTTCTCTGCTCCTTGCAGCTGAGACATTATATTCAGAGGAGCCTCGTAGTGCGGCAGGTAGCACCTCAGTTTCACAATCAAACCATTATATTCAGAAGTGTTTAACAAATGTCTACCACTTACTGATTGCACAAATGCATCTTCTGTGATTGGGAGAAGTCTCACATACTGAGTAGTAGTCCGATGTTTTCTCCATCATTCTCGGGAGTGGCCGGATAAGCAGTTGGAGATTACTCTCAAATCAGCAGACAGCGACCCCGATACACAGCCCATCTCAACCCTAACCATGCATAAATTTGGCCTAGCAACACTTTCTTTTTTCTGTCCTTCAAGAATAACCAGAGTAAAAGAGAGTTGGTCTTTTGTTTTCTTACATTTCATTTCCAGTTTGGAACTGTGGTACAGGAAAGTTGCAGGGAGAACCCTCAGGTGTCCTTGCACGTGAAGTGGGATGGACACAACGTGGTCCTTTTCCCTGACCTCCAGTCACCCTTATTTAAACCTTATACTCACACCAGACCCTGACCCCACCACCACAAACCTTGAGACCTGATCAGACTGTGGGACAGGATCTACTGGACATACTTAAAAACCAAAGAACACCAAGAAATGACAAAGTTGAGAGGAGGGACTGACTTACGTGTGGCAGACTGGCTGGAGTCAGGGAGCAGGAAGGTGGCTGCCCTTCCTGCCCAGCCATCAAATAGTGACCTGTATCCCATTTACATGAAAACCACAGCCCTCCCGCTCTTCAGTGTAAGACTTCAATACAGGGCGGAGTCATCCATTTATGGAACACAGTGACACAGTCTCCCATGGGCTGGGTCGACAAACAAGGGCCTCTCATTCACATTCACTCACATAGCAACAGTATCTCAATGTGTACATAGAGAAATAGGAAGAACAGCCTGAAAATCCTTTTAGGGTGTTAGGAATGGCAACAAATTGGCCCAGATAATCTTCTAGGATTGTTTGACTAGATAAAAAGCTGTTTTAGCTATAGACTTTGTAACCAGAAATATTTCTGCCAATAACCAGATGTTGCCAATATAATTTTTGCTATTGGATCTAGTTTGAACAGTGGGTTAGTCAAATAAACTAACATGACAACTAAAAAATGTAGACAGAGTCCTATAGATTTCAGAGAGTGGAGTCTACGTCCATTTAAATGCTCTGAAAAGAGGAAGCACGTTCAATTGAACTGTGACATAAACTGAATTAAGTTTCCTTATTTTTTTTTCCTTTCAGTTTCTAACTAAAAGTCACCACACCCTCAGACCTACAGGGCACACCCAGCACTGTGAGGTTCACTCAAAATCAGTTATCAGTCAGCATCTACAAGTCACAATTTTGTAAGTGGCAATGTTATTTATTCTCCAAGGTTATTAATGCTGTGCCTACACACAGCCTGAAAAAACAGGACAGACAAGGCCAGAAAATCCCCCAAGATAGCTTTACACTGATCCTGATCTTTGCCTCGGTAACTCTCTTCTCCTGGTGACAGTCTGTCTTAAACACGAACATGTAATGACATGAAAAAGAATGCAAAGAGAGGAGGGAGCTACTGGTGACGTACGGGCTCTTTCACAGCCAGATGGAAA